GGGGGGGGGGGGCAGGGGGATGGAAATAACACCAGCGCCCCGCAAAAAAACAGAAAATTTCCCCCTGGTCATTAACCCACCCAGGCCCCTATTTTCAGGGGCCTTTAAGTTGTTGGACGGCCATTCGGACAGTCCATTTGAACAGCAGGTGGGCCGTATATGAGGCTGTTCCTGCCGTACGGACAGGCCGGTTCTCTCCACATGGCCGACACAAAGTTTTTGCAGCCCCCAGCCCGGCACAATACGACATGCTCACCATTACTTAGTTTTTGCAGCCCTGGTAGCCTACTGTCTTAGTTTTTGCAGCCCTGGTAGCCTACTGTCTTCTCGCCCGAATACAACGTACGGTCATTATTGCTGCATCTAGACTCAAAGGTGCCTCAAATACAGCTATAATGACCGTACGTTGTATTCGGACGAGAAGACGGTAGCAATTTACTCAGTTTTCCTTGAGAGTTTTCCACACACTACTACATGCTGCTCACTATTAGTTTTCAAATTTATAATTTTTTTTTAACAAAATACGACACGCTGCTCTCTCTCTGTGTTCGGTACGTACACCGTCTCTCTCATCTCGTCATTGTGAAAACAGAACTTTTGTCGTTCTTGTGGCAACAAACATTCTTTACGCGCTCTCTTTTGCATCCACCTTTGATCGTTTTTCCCTGAGCAGAAGCGGACCTCCTTCAGCCTCCTTTTGTATGTCCCTCCTCCTCCTCCATGAAGATGGATCTGGACGGCCGCAATAAACAATGTTCATCGCAACGCCACAAACAATGGATCGTCTTCCTAGCCATCTATACTTTGCCCTGCTGTCCTAAAAAGGCCACCGCTTAATCACACATCACATCTACTTTGCCCTGCTTTCCTAAAAAAGTCATGCTTAAAAGGCCTTCACCCGAATAGAACGCCCAATCCTTATATCTGTATTTGGTGCAACTTTCAGTCTAGATTACAGTGATAATGACCTGGGCGTTCTATTCGGGTGAGAAGACGGTAGCAAGATTCAAGGTTTTGAAAATAATCTCCGCGATGTTCCGCCCTCACGCTAGGCCCTAGAAAGTCACAGAATAGCGAAATGAGCGGCCAGATCCCCTTCTGAAAAGAGGACTCAATCTGGCCGCTGATTTTGCGATTCGGCAATCTTCCATGCCTACGGGTAGTGTGTGAGTATATGCCCGAACAAGAACAAAATACATGACAACGTCGAGCAAAGCGAAGCAAAGTTAAACAAAGTTGAGCAAAGTCGCACAAAACTTTGAGGTGTCTACTCAAAGCTGCTGCACAATCAATCACTCACAGTCACGGGTGGTGGATGTGCGCGCGGGAAGAGGGAAACCGTGAAACTAGAAGAATCAATGCAAATTCCAAATTCCACAAGGAGGTGCTTATAGACATGCAGCTCAGCTTCCTTGTTTGGGGCTGCTGCTTATCCTGCTGGACTTTTGAGCATCACTACACACCACGACGAGACGGCCGAGCAAGTGGAGTTGAGCCCATCATAGGTCAACGGACTCAACTCCACTTGCTCGGCCGACTCGGAGCATCACTGCAAGATCTGTCTCTTATACACATCTAGATGTGTATAAGAGACAGGACCATGACACCGTCGTTCAGAATGAATGCAAGGTTTCTCTTGTAGTAAAGGCGATATAGTGTGAATGGGTGGGTCCTAATTTTCGAGCTAGTAGCTCTTCAGGTGGGAGGGGTGTGTGCACTTGATCGTTTTGTTTCTGGTTTTTTTTTTTGTGTGTGAAGTTCTTTGCTCTTTCCGTGAATCGTAGCAGAATGCTGATTTTTTGTTTTCGTTTTGGTATCAGTTGTTGTACCTCGCGATTTTCTAAGACCAGGAATAACCAGGCCGTACACTTGGGAGGCTCTTCCTCGCAGAACTGAGTTGAAGCTTTTCCAAAGCTACTAGTGCTGCTACTACTGCTGCTGCCACTATTGCCAACTGCTACTGGTAGCACTGCTGCTCATACTTGCAAGCGGACGGACTGGACGAGTGTTCGGTCCAGTCCGCTTTGCCGTGTGCGGCACCCTCCCCCTGGACTGGACGGACCCGGACCGGACCGGTCGTCCGGCGCACATTCGTGCGCCACGCGGGTCCGGTCCGGTGGTCAGCCGCACGTGTGGAACCGCGCGGACGGCGTCCGCTTGCAAGTATGCTGCCACTATTGCCAACTGCTACTGGTAGCACTGCTGCTGCTCCTACTGCCACCGCTTCTACCACTGCTTCTGCTGGTTCGATTCTATTGCCACTGCTACTGCTACTGCGACTGCGACTGCTACGGCTACGACCACTGCTGCCGCTGCTGCGGCTACTCATACTGCCTCTGCTGAGACTACTACTAACTACCGCGACTACCCCTTTTAACACCCTGTAAAACCCATGGATGCTCACCCTCCACCCCCCTTTTCAAGGCACTCTGCCCATGCCGCATTCAAATATAACGCCCCCGCCGTTCTATTCCAATAGAACGCCCTGGGCGGAACGCCCTGGGCGGGGCGTTCTATTCGAGTAGAACGCGCGGGCGTCATATTCAATGGGGCATAATATTAGGAAAAAAGGTTAAGTAAGAGCAAAAACCTGATTTTTAAAAGGTTAAAGAGACTTAAGAGACTTAAGAAGTCAATACCGTTAAGTTGAATATAACGCCCAGGCGTTATTTTCGAGTGAAGTCGCTGGTACTCCCACTACTGCGTTCATGCGAATCGAACGCCCACACAGTCATCATTGATGTATTTGGTGCAGCTTTTAGCCTAGATACAGGGATAATGCCAGGATTATTCGCGCGAACACGGTACTACTCCCTAGTTCCATTACTAGGGCTGCTGCTGCTGCTGCTGCTGCTGCTGCTGCTGCTGGTACTACTGCTGTCTGGTGGAAGGGGGATAGGGGTTGTAGTGGTAGGGGGTGCTTCGTCCAAGTTGCCCTCGATACTCGTCGGGTGATGGTCCTGAGTGCTGGTCACACTGGGTTGTTAGTGGCAGGGTAGGGATGGTGCTTCCCACCCAAAAACTTTGAAAAAGAAGGGTGGGGGTTATAGTGTTAGGGGGTGCTTGTCACTGCTGTCTGGTGACTGCCCTCGATACTGGTAGGGCGATGGTCCTGATACTGAGGTAGGATAGTAGGGATAGAGGGTGCGCTGGGAGCATCAACGTGGGGAAGGGTAGGGAAGGTGGCCTATCCTGTCAGGACAACCACTGGCTGCCGCTGCCAGCAATCACTGTGGGTCTAGTCCTTGGCCTCAACAACACCATGGGCTTTAAAAAAATAATAATAATAAAAAAAAAAGATGCGCTACAGCCAACCGGGGGGGAACCGGCCCGGTCGACCGGCCAGTAGGACCGGTCCGGTTCCGGTTGGGGGAGGACCCCCGGGTCCTACCGGGTTTTCAGCACTGATTTTTTTTTTTTTTTTTTAACTTTTACTAAATTCGTGTGTGTGACTTTTGCCCCCTGGTGATGTGATGAAGGTCCATCGGGCTGTGCTGGCAGAGAACGGTATGGAAGTTGCGATGAAGGTTCAGTACCCTGGAGTTGCAGAGAGCATCGATAGTGACATCGAGAATCTTCGGCGCTTGCTCATGTTCACCAATTTCATACCGAAAGGACTTTACCTCGACCACGCAGTAAAGGTGAGCAAGCTGGACCTTTTGGGAATGTATCTGGCCGCAAACACAGCCTTAGGTGGATGAATATGACCGCAATTACAGCGTCCAGATACAGAGCTGGGTCGAAAAAAAGTCCTGAATCTGAGTATACCCTGAGCCGAAGCGGCGTTGAATCTTGAGAAAATTTTCTTCTTTGAAGTCTATGACTCTATGGTTATTTTGTAGATAGCGAATGCTTCGGCACTGGAACTCTGTCGTCACTTGACACTCCAGTTAGAAAGCCCCCCCTCCCCACCCCCCCCCCCCCCCCCCTTACCTGCAAATCTCAGTTGGCTCCTGGAGGCTGGAAAGAGGGTCAAATGATGAGGCCGGCCTTCTTTGTGACCGTGTGGGTTTTGCAGATAGCCAAGGAGGAGCTGGCACGCGAATGCGATTACCATTTAGAAGCGGCGAATCAGCAGAGGTTCAAGGAGCTCTTGCAAGGGATGGATGGTTTCTATGTGCCTGAGGTGGTCCATTGGTTAACAAGTCGCCGAGTCTTAACCACAGAGTTGGTTCCCGGTGCGTGAAAGCAGCACCATGTGAGTGTGTGCTTTAATAAATTGTTTGCGTGTTTGCAACTTTGCACTGCATTTTCGCCATTTGTTTCGTGCTGACCTGTGCGCTCTGTATGACAATGCACACGCGTTTCCGCGGGTTGTGTGTGTGTGTGTGTGTGTGTGTGTGTGTGTGTGTGTGTGTGTGTGTGAGAGAGAGAGAGAGAGATTACGCGTGGTCACATCAGAATGCATGCACGTGTGCAATGTGCTTGCACAGGGGATGAGCCTGTGCGTGTGCCTGCACACAAACGTCAGTTTTTTTTTTTTTTTTTTTTTTTTTTCTGTGTGTGTGTGTGCGTGTGTGTGTGTGTTTGTGTGCATGCATTGTGACTAGTGGAATGACCTGCC